CATGTGCCTCCAAATCCCCTGGTGCCCCAATACTGTAGAGACACAAACTGAGGAACTGAGCCCTAGCCCTATCTAACCCTACACCCATACTTTGTGGAGCTCAATGTCACCAATTTGAACAGCATTAGAGCCTAGGACAGGCCCTTGTGTCGAGCAGAGAAGCCCCCCTGGGTCAGTTAGAAATAACTGGGTAAACTGTCCCCCAAGGTCTCTGCAAGTTCCCAAGGGGAAGATGACTTTTCTTCAACCAAACCTCAGCATCCTGGAAAGAGATGGGAAGGCTCTACGTACTCCTGCTGAATCTTCCTGCTGGCAAAAAATGAACCGAAAGTTCAACTCCGCAAGGAGACTCTAGCCTCCCTCCTCCTCAAGACCAAAGCATGTGACCAAAATTTATAGGGGAAAATCTCTTCTTCCCTGAGGTCTGAACCTTCCAGGACCCCTGGAGAGGATATGGGGGTAGGAGTGGTTGAGGACCTCCCCAGAGCCTCCAAAGCCACGTGGGATCAGGAGGCATCTAGCTAGCTTTATAAACTGACAAGACTGGGAGGTGTTCACAGCTCTGGTCCCGAGTATCACATTCTGTTATCCTACGTGTGTGCCCTGTCATCAAATCTGGATGAGTGGCTATCCCAGAAACAGCTCTGAGGAGGAGAACCTGATGGACACAGGCTGGAGTGAGAGTGAGTCCCAGAATTTTCCCACGTGGCTGGCCCAGAGGATCTTCTGTCTCCACTGCAGCTGTAACAGGCTGGGGAGCACCATCTGCTAAGGTTGGTATTTGTCTATTAAAAAGTCTACTAAGTCCCATCAGAGTTGATTCAGAAAGCTGAGGTTGCCTATTCTCCTTTCTCTCTCCCAGAATCTACCCCATCCTGCCCCATCTCCTACTCTGTCAGCCTTCAACATTTCCTGAGACCCCCACTGCCTTCTATGTTATCAGATTGTCGTGGTATTGCAGTGCTTGTGTGCAAGTCACCCTTATTTTATTTAATAAGGCCCCCAAAGTGCAAAAGTAGTGATGCTGGCAATTCAGATATGCCAAAGAAAAGCCGTAAAGTGCTTCCTTCAGCGGTTCTCAGCCTGTGGGTCACAACCCCTTTGGCGGTCAAATGACCCTTTCACAGGGGTCACCTAAGACCATCCTGCATATCAGATATTTACATTATGATTCATAGCAGTAGCAACATTACAGTTATGAAGTAGCAACGAAAATTTTATGGTTGGGTCACAACATGAGGAACTGTATTTAAAGGGTCAGAAGGTTGAGAACCACTGCTTTAATTGAAAAGGTGAAAGTTCTCAGCTTAATAAGGAAAACAAAAAATCATATCTGAGGTTGCTAATATCTATAGTAGGAATGAATCCTTTATCCATTAAATTGACAAATTTATAAATTAAATTTTATAGGTATAGGAATAAACATGGTATTTATAGAGTTGTGTACTACTCATGGTCCCAGGCATCCACTGGGGGGTCTTGGAACATATCTTCTGCAGCTACAGGAGGACTACTGTATCAAGTGCCTACCCCTTTTCCAGAAGTGTGCCATTGACACACATTGTCTTTCAGCCCTCACAGAAACTGGGGAAAATGAGGCTCAAAGAGGTTGAGTAACTATCAGGTTTCCTACTTTTTTCCAATGCACCTTTTGCCTAGTAAATGACTGAGATTAATTCTCACTTGAGGCTGTTGCACTTCCCCATCTTCTCCTTGGAGCCCCGCCTTCCTCATTCCTCCTGGCCCAGCCCTGCTCCTCCTCTCTCTGAAGCCTTCCCAGATGACTCCAGTAGGAACCCATACTGCGGAATGGGCACTAACCAACTTCACTCGTGGCATGAAAGTGAGGCGGTCTCTCAATAGAATTTCAATATCCAAAATGGCCTAAGCCATGTCTCACGCAATTTTGAAAATTGTTTAAATACTTTAAACAGCTGTAATTGTTTAAATACTTTTGAGCAACCACAAATGTTCAAATACTTTCAGACAACAGTAGTTGTTCAAAGATTTGCTCTTCATTGGATTTGAAACTTAGAAGAGTCTCTTGTTTTCAGAAGTTATAATGTGAAAGGGAAGCAAAACAATCTCGTGGGGGCTACGGGGGGGAAGGACTTAGAAATCTTGACAAAGCCCTGCTAAACAATTCTCTATACATCTGTGTAAGTAAAATGCCTCAAAGATAATTCAGTTGGGTAAGGGAAGGCTGACTAGAAGGGCTGAGGGTGGGTTTGCAGGATTTATGGAAGAAACCAGGAGGCACTTTACAAACTGAGAACCTCAGAGCACATCTGTAAGGCTGTTGGTCAAAGTCACCACAATTGAGACTAACTGAGAGTTGAGCCTCTGAAGGAATTGAATGACCAGCTGGGAATTGGGATGAGAATAGTAGAGGATTAGAAGGGAATGCAATTTGGACCATGGAAAGATGGTGAGAGGTGGGAAGGTGGGGAGGAGGACAGAAAACCTTATTTACTGGAGAAGAAGATCCATGCGCTCAGCCTAAATACAATGCTGAGAGTGACTCGTGTGTGTGTGTGTGTGTGTGTGTGTAGGGAATTGAGCTGCCATCCTATTGGAGAAAAAGGAAAAGATTAATAATCATTGTAAATCAAAGACTCGTGGACAAGAACTAAACCTTTAAGAAAGTTAGAAAAGAAGGACTAAACACAAAAGATACCTGAGTGGAGAAACGAGTACAGGGCAGGAAGTTGACTGCTAGGTTAAACTTCAAGACTGACTCATATGACAGGATTCTGCCATACCACCAGGATCCTGACTTTTAGGGTTGCATATTCTAACCTTTACAGTAAGCAGAAGGTTGGTCTGTGAAGTGAGGATGGGGTGTTCTAATGAATTCTGTAAAGGGGGGTGGGGTGCTCCAATGAATTCTACAAAGTCCCATTATCACAAGCCCAGCTCTGGGAAGAAGGAGCGGTAGCGGAGCAGAAGGTAGAGTCCTGAAACTGACCAGTTCTTCTAAGGCCACGGTCCTCAAATTGGGATTGGATACCCCTGAGGGTAAGTGAAGAACTTTCAAAAGGTTCATGGGCAAAAGAATTTTAAAGGAAGCAATTTCCAGAACCTCAGTGTCTACTGAGAAAAACCAATGTTCATGAGAGTTTATCTGTGATGGGGGTAATGTATCCTTTATCATCTTCTTTTTCACAATTGCCCTTCTCCCATTTTGAAAAGAAGTGCAGGCTTCTAACCCATCTGGAATTTCAGTATGTCATTTCACCAGCCTACAAAACTTCCAGGCTCCCACACAGAGATAATTTCATAAATAGGTGCTGAAAAAGTAAATTACTTTAATGACTGCCTATAAAATCCTTTCAACAAAATGGAGGGAGGATCTTCCCAAATTGACCAGTGATGGAGCGTTTAAAGTAATTTTTGATGCTACATCACTATGTGATTCTTGGTATTAACTAACAAGGAGTTCAATGAATTGATGCCATTATCATAAAAAAAAACTCCTTATATTCCTGTCTATTCATTTATGTTAACAATGTTTCTCAGAACTTCCTGCTTTATGGACAAAATATTTGAGTGTCCAAGGTACTCATAGATCCTTGTGAGCTGGATAGACCCTCCTAAACTTGTCAGTTACAATCAGGTGTAGAGTCTCCTTTTACTAGACAAATTCACATGTATTCTTTTTGTGTTTCCTGGGACTACACTGGCACAAAGATCCACAGGAAGTTCAGGGAAGATGCACTCACTCACTGTCAAATTGTCAGGACCAGATGTGATCTTAGACGTCTTCCATTCCAAGCCTTGACTTTGCCAATGAGGAAGCAGAAACCCAGATAGAGGAGAATTGTCCAAGGTAACAAAGCTAATTTTAGGCAACAGAGCCAGAACTAATAGGTCTCCATTCAGTCACTCCAAGTGCTCTTTCTGTCATACCCTGCTCCTGTGACAACCGGTGGAAACAAGGCTGTTCCATATTCTCCTGCAAAATGGCACTACATTTCCTCCTTGTCCTCTAGATAAACTGTTTGACATGGATGAAGAGGTCAGTGAGGTTTTCCTAGGACTGATTTCAGGATGTACCTTGAAGAGGAAGGAGATGAAGTGTAGAATAGAGAGGAAAGTATGGGGAGGGAGGGCATTTCAAGTCCTCCTGTGAATAAAAATAGTGGAAGATAGTCAAGCAAGCACTAAACCATCATTGCCAAGATGGTGATGTCCCAGGTGAGAGTCAACTCTATAGATTATCAAAGGACAAAATGATTATGATATAGAGGAGGGGCTTCCCTGAAGTTTAAATAGAAGACAAAATGAGTATTGATGCATACTACAACATGGATGAGCCTTGAAAACATTAAGTGAAAGAAACTAGACACAAAAGGTTACATGTTATATGAAGCTATTTATATGAAATGTCCAGAATAAGCAAATCCACAGAAACAGAAAGTAGATCAATGGTTGCCAGGGGCTGAAGAAGTGGAAAATGATAGGGCATGACTACTAATGGGTATGGGGTTTTCTTTTTTGGGTGATGAAAATGTTCTGCAATTAAGTAGTGGGGATGGTTGCATACTTGTGAATATACTAACAACCACACTAACTTATTCATTTTTTAATGATGAATCTTATCTGAATGATATCTTGATTTTTAAAAAGAAAGAATGAATTATCAAATAGAGTCATAAGCCTATTTGTCAATACAGGCATAAGACATTGGGGAAGGAAGCCTTACATTTATCAACCACCTGCTGTGTCTCAAACATTCAAATATTTTACTTTTTTTTTTAGGCCACACAGCAACCCTGAGAAGTAGGCATGTTTTCTTCATTCCACAGATGAGAAAACTAAGGCTCATAGATATAGTTTATCCAAGGTTACACAACCAGTTAGTGCCACAGTCAGAATTAAGGCAGGTCAGCCTGCCTTCACAGCCCATGTTCTGCCACTATAGCATGATATTTCCCTTTAGCTTCTTGTGGCTGTTCTCCCTCATTCCAACTTGCACAGTGGTGGGCATGTTTGAGTAATACTGTTTGGGTGATTATCAATTGTCACCTCTGCAGATGACACCTGGAGAACTAGCCCTTGCCAGTGGCAACTACACCCCAGTTACCCAGTTCATCCTGCTGGGATTCTCCAAGTATCCAGACCTCCGGGAGCTTCTTTTTGGAGCCTTCCTGCTCATCTATGCCATGACAGTGGTGGGCAACCTGGGGATGATGGCGCTCATCCTCACAGACTCCCGTCTCCATAGCCCCATGTATTTCTTTCTCAGTGTCCTCTCTTTTCTTGATATTTGTTACTCTTCTGTGGTCACACCCAAGCTGTTGGTCAACTTTCTGGCCTCTGATAAGTCCATCTCTTTCAAGGGCTGTGTGGTCCAGCTGACCTTCTTTGTGGTACACGTCACAGCTGAGAGCTTCCTGCTAGCCTCCATGGCCTATGACCGCTTCATGGCCATCTGCCGACCCCTCCATTACAGTTCTGTCATGACCACGGGGACCTGTCTCCAGCTGGTGGCTGCTTCCTATGCATTGGGTGGAGTTAACTCCGCTCTCCAGACTGGGAATGTCTTCGCCCTGCCTTTCTGTGGGCCCAACCAAGTGACACACTACTTCTGTGACATCCCACCTCTTCTCCACCTGGCGTGTGCCGACACAGCCACAGCAAGGGTGGTCCTCTACATCCTCTCTTCTCTTGTTACCCTTGTGCCTGCTGCAGTCATCCTCACCTCCTACAGCTTGGTCTTGGTGGCCATTGGGAGGATGCGCTCAGCAGCTGGGAGGGAGAAGGCCCTTTCCACGTGTGCCTCCCACTTCCTGGCCATTACCATTTTCTATGGCACCGTGGTTTTCACATACGTTCAGCCTCATGGATTCGCTAGTGATACCAGTGGCCAAGTAGTGTCCGCCTTCTACACCATCCTAATACCCATGCTCAACCCTTTCATCTATAGCCTCCGAAACAAGGAGGTGAAGGATGCTCTGCAGAGGAAGCTCCAGGTCGACATCTGTCCCTGCTGAGCCCTGCAAGGTCGTTTGTTGGCATGAGAAAGGCATAACATCTTCCAAATCACGTTCTACATTGACTTAACCAAGAGTAGCCCTGGTTTTGAAGGAGGTGGAAGAAGTGAAGAAGAAACAGCAAATACCATACTCTGTCAAGAGCACTGCAGTTTTTAAAGTATCTTTATATCCATTATCATATTGGATCTTTGTCACCATATTGGGAAGCAGCATTGTTATGATGATTGCATTTTATGAATGAAGGATACTTGACTCAATGAAAATAAATTAATTACCTGAAGTCATACAGTTAGTGAGAGAATAAGTGTTCGACATCAGAATTTCCACAGCAAAACCAAGGAAATTTCAATTACACCACAGCCACAAGTTAAGTCTTTTATTGGGAGCTCATCCTAGCTTTCAAAAAATATCAGACAAGGGCCAGCACAGTCCTTTCTGTTTTGCACTGACTTAGTGAACTGGGGATAGGCTAGGCTACATGTGGCTCCGTTTTTTAATTCCTGTTCCAAAGAGAAAGAAGACTGGGACATAACTGTCCTTATTTTTTTTTTAAATATATTTTATTGATTTTTTACAGAGAGGAAGGGAGAGGGATAGAGAGTTAGAAACATCGATGAGAGAGAAACATCGACCAGCTGCCTCCTGCACACTCCCTACTGGGGATGTGCACGCAACCCAGGTACATGCCCTTGACCGGAATCGAACCTGGGACCTTTCAGTCCGCAGGCCGACGCTCTATCCACTGAGCCAAACCGGTTAGGGCTGTCCTTATTTCTTATTGCTGCTATATACTACTGAGATGTTCCATTTAATAAAACCTCAGGATCAGGTTTTATTCCTTATACATACAGATGTTTTCTAGCCAGATGTATGCACACATCTCATTATTCTCGGGGCGGGGGGGGGGGGGGGGCGCGATTTGGGCAGTTACAGCATTATATAAGACACTGTGATTAGGAAACTGATTCAAAAATATTATATTTGGCATGAACATCTTTAAATATACATGAAATGTGGTGAGTATATGTGATTTAGAGAATTACACAAATGAAGAAGTTGAACTTGACCTAACTTGGGGTTGAACACTGGACTGGAAGCCATGCTCTTACATGAATATGAAGTCCCAATCTGAACTGAGTTAGCTTCACCCTGAGAGTTGTGGATCATTGAAAAGGCTTCTTTCAGATTCAAATTAAATTTTTCTAAATACAGAAAATCCTATTACAAAAACAAGTTTATCACAGAATCATTTTTGAAAACAAAATAAAAATTAGAAACAACCTAACTGTTCAAAGATGAAAAAGGATGAAATGGTTCATCCCCCAGATGGACGATGATGGAACCACTAAAAATTATGCTTGTGCCCTAACCGGTTTGGCTCAGTGGATAGAGCGTTGGCCTGCAGACTGAAGGGTCCCAGGTTTGATTCTGGTCAGGGGCATGTACCTTGGTTGAGGGCACATCCCCAGTGGTGGGGGTGCAGGAGGCAGCTGATTGATGTTTCTCTTTCATCAATGTTTCTAACTCTCTATCCCTCTCCCTTCCTCTCTGTAAAAAAAATCAATAAAAATATTTTTTAAAAAACAAACATCCACTTAAAAAAAATTATGCTTGTGAAGAAGGACTACATGATCACATGGAAAACAGCAGCCAGAACCCCTAGAGTGATTGCAGAAATGTGGGAAAAATGAGTGGCGCCCTAACTGGTTTGGCTCAGTGGATAGAGCATCAGCCTGTGAACTAAAGGGTCCTGGGTTCCATTCCAGCCAAGGGCACATGCCAGGGTTGCAGGCTCGATCCCCAGTAGAGGGCATGCAGGAGGCAGCCAATCAATGATTCTCACCTTTGATATTTCTATCTCTCCCTCTCCCTTCCTCTCTGAAATCAATAAAAATAAAAAAATAAAATATAAGTGGGGGGTAGGGGGGAAGCGGGAAGAACACTCAAAAGTGTAAATAATGGTTGTATTAGAGTGATAGCATCATGGGAAAATGTTTTTCTATTTTTCTCAAAAATTTTCCAAAACTTTTGTGATGTCATGTTTAATTTTGATACTTTATTCTAAAATCAAATAATTAAAGAAATCCTTTCCAGGAAGCTGAGTGTGAGACTTCCTCCATTTCATCTTCTTTCTTTCGGCCAATATTTTCTAAATTCCTCCGGTGTTCCCTATTCCTTTAATGCATAAGCAAAGTTCTTAGAACATGCCCACAAGAGAGGTCAAGACTGGAACATTACAGTGAAGCGACTTGGTAAAAATTAATCTAATTCATTCATCTGTAAAAATATTGATGAAGCACTTAGGTGCAACATATTGTGGTGGGCCCTACCTGGGTGAGTAGGCAGACCATATATGTATCAATCATATATCTTATGCTACAGTGACTAATAAACCTCAGTCAGTTAAATATGAGACTGATCAGGTGACTCTGCAGGGCAACTATATTCATCCATCAGCATGTGGACAATGCCACCATCTGAATCTGTGCCGAGATTTTAATGGTGGGGGTAATGATCAAGAAGGTCAAAGCATTTCTTATTACCAGGCCTGAGGTTGGCTCAAAGCACTTCAACCCTCATGTTATTAACCTGAAACCAGTCTTATGCTTTCCACCGAACTGCAAAGGAGGCTGGAGAACAGAGCCTTCTTTTGCACCTCGAGAAAGGAAAACTAAATGTGATTCAGTGAATACATCACTTTGTCTCTGTCACTGGCCAATTGGGCAGTTGGTTAGACCATCATCTGTAAGGGTTTCTAAAGCATCACTAGAATAAATCAGAAATAAGGCGCTGGTTAACTCATGATTCTACATAACTGAGGTGGATTGTTTCTTTGGGTAGAAGTTTTAAAACTTCTCTCACCTGTGTTGAACTACCTCTATGGAATGTTCATGGTACTTCTACAAGCAGTATAACTAACTTTGAGATGGCTAGTTGACAGTTGCCTGAAGCTACTTTGAATTTAAAAACTAAATAATGCACAACGTAGTAGCATTTGCTAAGAGTGATCTTATCTGAGTTTAAACCCTATAATGTATCACCCAAGAGTTGGTACACACCCAAACACATACACTCCTGAAGGAAGAATAAGAAACCACAAAAAAAGGAAAGCATTTTAAAAACATGAAAGTCAGGGGAAAAATACAAAAGTTAAATGTGCATATGAGATGACTCTGTGGTGTAATTTTAATTAATAGATTATCCACAGCTATTCACCTCAACTTCATGAATCTTTCTATTCTGTATAATGAGGTAATAATGCAAATTGACTGCCATGCCCTCACACAAGATGGCCACCCCCATATGGTCAAAGATAGCCACCCCAATGTGTTCACAAGATGCCTACCACAAGATGACCAGCAGGGGAAGGTTAGTTGTGGGCAACCAGGCCTGCAGGGGAGGGAGGTTGGGGGCGACCGGGCCAGCAGGGAAGGGCAGTTGGAGGCAACCGGGCCAGCAGGGGAGGGCAGCTGGGAGCAATCCGGCCAGCAGGGGAGTGATTAGGCATCGATCAGGCTGGCAGGGGAGTGATTAGGCATCGATCAGGCAGGCAGGCAGGCAGGTGAGCAGTTGGGAGCCAGCAGTCCCAGATTGTGAGAGGGATGTCCGGCTGCTGGTTTAGGCCCGATCCCTAAACCAGAAGTCAGACATCCCCCAAGGGGTCCCAGATTGGAGAGGGTTCAGGCTGGGCTGAGGGACACACACACACACATACACACACGCACCCGCACAAATTTTGTGCACTGGGCCTCTAGTAAAACTATAAAGGACATTCTGAGGAGGAGCATCCTGACCCACTGACGGTTGTATCCTCAATATCTAGATCAGTGCCTGGCACATTGTAGGAGCTCAATAAACATCTGTTCAATACATGAATGAATAGGTATTTACACATTTGTTTTCCTTAGATCAGTGGCATTGTCACCATCTGAGAGCTTTTGAAAAATAGAGACTCTGGGTGTCCACACTAGATCTCCTGAAACTGTGTCTTCATTCTAACAGATCAACTTTTTTTAAAATTGATTTTATAGAGAGAAGGAAGAGGGAGAGAGAGGGGGGGGGGGGGGAGAGAGAGAGAGAGAGAGAGAGAGAGAGAGAGAGAGAGAGAGAGAGAGAGAGAAACATCAATTTGTTGTTCCACTTATTTATGCATTCATTGCTTGATTTTGTTATGGCCCTTACTGATTAAACCTGCAACCTTGGTGTATCCAGATTTGAGCTACCAGGCCAGGGCCACGGTTTTAGTTTTTAAAGTTCAAAGCTTTTTATCACAAAAGTTTTGTCTCTGTTTTGAGTTTCCAAAACATATTTAAACCTCTAAAGCTAGGGATTGACCTTTCTTTGGTATTTGGTCTATGCTGCCATGAACCCACCCAAGGCATGGCTGCCAAGAGGGGCAAGCATCACTGGGTTAAAAATAAATTACCAGAAATAAAATCAGTATATCAAAATAAGATTCCACTATACCTGATTGTAAAGATCCACACATTGACACCCCCATACACTTTACCTCTCAGCCACAAACCTTGGCAACATCTTTATAGCATTTTGTACATATGTTTTAAATCTTGTAGGTTTCTTTTATAATTGAACACAGTTGTCAGACTTGCTTAAATTCAGTAAGCATCAAATTTACTGTTTTTGGCAGAAAAATATCTTCCTTTATCTCAACCGTAAAATCATTAACATCAACCCGTATTTTTTCATTTTCTACTATGCTTTTATGAATAAGGGCAAATATGCAATAAAATGTTCAAGTAACTACGCGAACATTGCCATATTTAGAAGTAACACTCCTACTGCAACACTCCTGGCTGGCAGAAAGCGGTACCAGGAGGTAACTTAAAACGGTTACTTGTCTACTGAAATGAAAGTAAAATTTGGAATAGGAAGGACTTGTATGCATGCATATTAGCATAACCAATGGACACAGACACTGGGGTGGTGGGGGCTTGTCCTGGGGGGTGGGAGTGGCCAGGGAGGGGTCAGTCGGGGAAAAAGGAGACATATGTAATACTTTAAACAATTTTTTAAAAATTAAGAAAATGAAAAAAAAATTTAATGAAAAAAAGACGAATGTCAATTGCAGATGTGTGTCACCATGTGATTTTACGAAAAATCCAAAATCAGAAGTAAAATCC